GTTTATCAGTGCCTACCCTAGCTATAGTTGGAGAGGTGTCATCCAGTGTGCCTGATGAAACAGAAGCATCTCCTGAAGCGGCTATGGAAAATGCAGACGCAGAAGAAGAAGCAGAGGATGAGGACGAGAGAGAGGACAGCTCTGGGGTCAAACTCTTCATCTTTGGCTGACGGCGGGACTCCAACTTGCGTGTGTATTTGCGCTTGAGGGAGTTGCTGTTGCTGCTGGATATATTTTGTGATGCTCCTGCACATGAAAAAAGAAAGAGAGAAAAAAAGTAAAAAAAAAGGTATCCGTTAATCAAACAAAATTGAATGAAAAAATTGTACATGTCTGAAAGCAGCAAATGCTTTACATTTGGAATGTTCAGAAGTGAGGAAACCTATGACTATGCTGAAGGCTTCTCCAACTGGATGAACAGAAGTGAAGTAGTAAAGTAAGAAGGCCATTTGTATAATAATGTTTCCTTGTACTCATTTCATGATTCACAATGAATAATAACTTGTTGAAAAGAAAGGACAATGTTAAAAGCATCCTCTGTCTGTTTGCCTTTACTTGGGCTTCTTCATACATTTATATTCATTACTCAAATTTCAGTCACTTCTCCTTTTAGTACAATATAACCATTCACATTATAAAATGGCTCAACTGCCCTGCATGCATGACGGGTTAAACCTTTTCACTCTTGTTTATCAAATCTTATTATATTACTGTTTTGTCAAAAAAAATCTAGTCTGAACCTTTAAACAAATCAATATAGGATCTATTATTAATATTTGGTACAATATTTTTTTCATATAATAAGAGCTGTTTTAAGAGGTACAAAATTCAATAAACTTCTCAATTTTTTCATGTATGTTTGAGACAGTTAACATGAAAGGAACATAATGACTGAAAATATCCACTGAACTCACTGTAGATTCTAATTAGCTATCAATATATTTTTTTTTTAATAAAAAAAAAGAAGACAAGGTTCATTCTTCAAATCAGTTTTCATAATCTTTTCACAATAAACCTGAATAAACTAGTAAGGTCAATACTGTAAATGAACATTCCAAATTTGAGGACAGCCAATCACAAAACCACTGAGACTATTAGCCAATAAACGGTGAAATACCTTAAAATGCCAACCAATCAGCATCTCTAATACCCTAAACTGCCAGCCAATGAGCTGCTGTCTTAAATTGCCATCAAACCAATAACAGCGATGCCTAAACAGCCTATCAGCAATAGTGGTATCTTGTACTGCAGCCAGTCATCTGCTGTGATACTAAACTGCCAGATAATCAGGCATTGTGATTGTAAACTACCAGCCAATCAGCCACAACAAACACCAAACTGCTATCCAATCTATTACTGTAATGCCTCAAATAGTAAGCTACAAGAAAGTGATATTTCCTTTAATCAATGATGGTGTTTTTGAAGATTTCTTCACCATTTGCAAGTAACTAAGTCATGTGCCCCTCCATTTGAATAACAGCCATTGGGCCACTTTCTGAAGACCCTGACTAGTTTTCAACTTTCTGAAGCCATTCAATCTCACATTTATGTGTCTGAGACCCTAATTGACAAACTGCATGATCAACTATAACCATAAGTGAGTACTTTAACTGTCAACTGTAGTTTTTTGTGAATGTTATTATACACAGATGGCTCCACAACTGTTCAGCTACCAAGGAGTCAATTAGTAGGCTCAATGTCACCTCACCTAATTCACCTATTCCTTGAATTTTCAGGATTTTTTTTCTAATGCTATTAATAAAACTGTTATTGGCAAATGGGTGAGATAGGCAGGACTAGCAGTTGACTGCTTGCTAACTAAGTATTTGTGGAGCTATCTATTTGTAAACACAATAAATGAAAATAAGCATGAAGATTGCATGTTTGTCATGCCATCCAAGCCCATACGGTTAACCACAGCTAATGACTATTAATGCCTTGCATGTTTACAGCCAGCATTCACAATTCTCTAAATAAGATGCAACTCGACCATAAGATTTATTTTTTTTTTGTTTATTCTTGCTTCCACACTCACTTCAAGTGCAAATCAACCTTCATCAATTCATCCAGAAAGCTGTGTACCTGCCCTTATATATTTCCAACAAATAATTTGTGTTTTTCAACAAAGATGCAAAACTACACAACTAACCATTCCAAAACCAACTAACACTCCTCTTTCCATTTCCATTACCTTACCAAGTCAACCACTGAACCTTCTTATGACAAACTTAAAATAAACTGGAGCAAGCAAACAAGAAATAACTTTGAAGCCTTAGACACAAGGTTTCTTTTATTTTCTCTGCCAAAACAACCCCAACCACCAAGTATTTAAGATTAAACTTCTGACGCAGGCAGTTGTTAAAGACTAGTCTGATACGAGCAATTTCTATATCAAGGAATATATCAACAATATCATAAGTAGAAACCATTTCACATACAAAGGTGTAATGCCAATTTCTGTAAACAGTACTTTTTTTCCCTTTACAATTCAGTATCATCACTCTTGGTAAACATATAGGCAATTCTAAATTCTATATCCTTAGAAGTAATTCTCATCTACACAGCAAATATTTTGTGGAAGTCTTTTTTGAAAAGACAGACAGCACAGCAAACAGAGATCTTTCTAATTTTCAAAATATATTTTATGACTTAACACTATACAACAAAAATTATTCTCTAGATTGACAAATAAATATATAAATAGTCCTTCTGTATGAAATATTATAAAAAATATGTCCAATAAAGGTAAAAAAAATTAGAATCTACCAGGTACTTTAAGTGGTAAAATATATTCTAGTGTCAAGGGACCCTCTCTATTTATATATTTTGAATGTTAAGAATGTTTGAGATATTTGCATTTCCTTTATTTCAGAAAAAAAACATGGTTATGATGTACTTGTCTTATCTTTTATCTTTATTTCTGCATATTTGTAAATATGTTATTTTTTCCTCAATTGGAAAATGCAGAATCTTCAAAGCTACACATGTACCAAATCAAAACTGAAAAAAGTGGAATGGACAAGTACAAACAACTTTTTGAAGGAAAGGAACGGAAGGGTAAAGAAAGGAAAAGACAAGAAGAAGAAAATAATGAAAAAAGAAATGAAAAGGAATGAGATGAAAAGAATAAGAAAAAGAAGAAAAGAAAAGAAAAGAAAAGAAAAGAAAAGAAAAGAAAAGAAAAGAAAAGAAAAAAGAAAAGAAAAGAAAAGAAAGAAGAGAAAGAAAAGAAAAGAAAAGAAAAGAAAAGAAAAGAAAAGAAAAGAAAGAAGAAAGAAAAGAAGAGAAAAGAAGAAAAGAAAGAGAAAAGGAAAATCAAAAGAAAATAAAATAGAAAAGAAAAAGAGAGGAAGAGAAGAGAAAACAAAACAGAAAGAGTAAGAAAATGTGAAAAAAGAAGAAAAACAAGGAAGAAACAGAAATCACAACTTCGCAGAGAAGGTCAATCTAAAATAAAAAAGAAAGAAACAAAGGAAAAAAGATGGAAAAACAGAAAGAAAGAGAGAGAGAGATACATGCATACACTGACATGCAAACATCTTTTTTCTCATTTCATTTCCCTTCCTTCAAACCTTTCCTCAAATTGTAATTTATGACTGTTGAAGATGAAATGTTGCTCTTATTATCACTGATAAATATTGACTTTGTTCATTCTGTATACAATTTTTTCCTCATATCTTCCATAAAAAAAACAGAAAATATGACACACAAGCATATTTTTATCTTATAAAAATGAAAAATATTTGTTTTTTTTAAAATGAATAGTTGATAAAACAGAGTGGAAAGTCCAAACCACAGTATTTCTGAATAAAATGTGGCATGACTTGTTTTCCTCTGTTAACCCACTAGCAACGGTATATTTTGAAGCCAAAAATAATGGTTTCTGGGCGGCTTCAAAATCGGAACGCGGGGGGCCCAGAATCTGATTACGCGCCAGCTGTGGCCTGCGACCCGAATTAGAGCACAAGCTCTGATCCAGTGTCACACCAGCAGGACACCTGGCAATGTTTATTTTTCCGGTTGTCACATATGTAGGACATCCGTCAAAAGTGGGTTAAAAATGAAAACTTATCATCAAAAATTATAATCTTTTTTTCCCCCTTTACATCTGAATAAAATGTTTACGAGCAATATCACCTAAACAAAAGAATGGGGAGAAATGAATCAATACTAATACATGAACAAAAAAGGAGAGGGTCCCTATCAGTTCAAAGCTCTTTCCTCTTGCCTTGTAACCAAACCAAATGTATACGGCACTGCCTGCATGTACAATCCGCGGTGTAATCACACCAAAGAAAGTACTTTACATTTTGTACACATTATAAATAATGATTCTGAAGATAAATAAATTAAGTCCTTATCCTTAACAAAAAGCCCAATTTGATTCCCTTTCCCAAAGCCTGTCAGGGAGTCCTACAACCTTTTTTACGGATGGCACTTTTCGGGCACGGCAGCGGTCGTCTTTTCCCCATCAAAGAGCGACTTGTCAACTTGTATTTACCACCTGTGGTTCGGGGCGTTCCAGGGTTGGAGGCTGAGGAACCATCACTGTGGGGGGTATGGCTCGCTGAAGGGTGGTAGGGAGAGGTGCTCGGAGTTGTGTGGGATGAGTCACCACTGCTGTATGTGAGGCCCGGTGATGAAAGAGCTGAAACGCCCACTGGAATCTTAAGGCTACCTCCCATCAGGCTGATGGGTGTGCCTGAAAGAAAATAGGTTGATTAGTGGGTTACCTGGGCAAGTCCATTCTCGAGAACTTGCTCTTTTCATGTATATATGCACTGGTACAGTAAGCTGGACAAAATTATTCATAATACTTTGTTTTGAATTTAATCTTGTTTCTTCTTACAACTACCCAAATACAATTTATCAACATTGCAAATCTGTATGTTATTCATATCAAGCATCCCCTTACACAAATAAACAATTCATAAAACCATCCTACAAGCAACCCCTTCCAGCAGGATTTTTCTACCCTACACCTACTCCACTCACTTGGTCTGGATATCTTAGCAGGGGAAGGAGGTGCAGAGCCATCTAGGGAACTGCCTGTGGATGTCTTCCTTTTGCGAGTGCCTTCCTTGCGTTGGGACTTGGGAGGGAGGGGGTTGGTGAAGGAGGAGGTAACAGAGGAGTGTGGGTAGACAGTGGATGAAGTCACATGGTGGCTGTGGAGGGGCAAGGGCTGTAAACTGAGGATGAGCTGCCACTGCTCTCACTCAGCAGGTGTGAAAGGAAGTCACCAATTTCATCCTGGGGAAAAATGCATGATCTTAACAAGACTGATTTCCCAGTTCCACATATATACTCAAGTGACTATGAGATTGAAATAAAGAATTGCAACTGATTCACCTGTTCATAAATTTTTAAATAATTAACCCCTTGGACATAACTTCTCTGTGCAAGGTGTACTGGTGGTAAGCCAGAGTTCCTCATTACCTGATCCTGTCTGTGTACTGCATATGACTTCAAGACATTATTGACTTGTCAGTCATTTGGTTAAACTTTATGAATTCTATCTCCCCTCATAAGTGTGTTCAACAAGTGACACCATCAGATTTTGATATAAATACTTGTGTCCTTTTTAGGGCATGATGTAGTCAAGCAAACTAAGTATTACTGGAGATTTACCTCCCTGACAACCATAAATTATTTCTACACAAATCAACTTTACAAAGCTTGAAATAATCATTGATACAATAGAAAAGATTGTAAATACTTACAACAATACACCTGTCCACCATAGACTGTGTGACCTTCCATGTGCCGCTTCTGCACGAGAGGCGCAGGTGTGAGTCAGCTCCCCCTACAACTACCAGCCCCGTCTCCACACGCAGACGCATGCGAATGTCCTCCATGTCATCCACGCTGTCAAGTAAACTGCTGTCTGAGACAACTAATTTCTAGATTTGTTTGTTCCAAACAAATGACTATACATATTGATATTAGTTGTGAATGTCCAAAGAATGTTTCGACATCATAGAAGAAAAACATTTCAGAAATTCACAATGAAATTGTGAAATTCATATGAAAATTTTGAATAAAAATTGTGTATAAGTCCTCCTGCTTTGTGCTTGGCCTCAAGACCTCCTGGTAATATGTTCGTTTACAGTGTAATTACGTAATATGCATCCCATGTATGATGCAATATATGGCAGAATTAAGAGTACAAGATATCTCCTACAAATGATTTATATATATATATATATTATATATATATATATATATATATATATATATATATATATTATATATATATATATAATATATTCATATACATATAAATATTAGATGTATTTTACCAGCTTTAATTATATCTTCGTCAGAAATACATGTATTTCTGACGAAGATATAATCGAAACTTACAGGTCTTACATGTATAAAAGAGGGCAGATGAAAATGAAATTCATTACCCATGGATACAGCCAGTGATACCACTTCTCAGAGCTCTGCAGTTTCTTGCTGTCAGCCATGCCTTACTGGCCCTTATTCAAGGAATAAGGAGACAAGAAATAAAAAATCAAAAGAAAAGATCAATCCAAATGCAAAATAACAGTTGCTCATCATAATCCAGCTCCTTAAAACCTACCTGACATTTGATGCCTTCTCTCCTATGATGAAGAGGGTTGGGGTACGGATGTCCAGTAATGGGTCATCTGCTTCCCCTCGCTTGCCTGTCGCACCTGTCACTGGAAACCCTAGGCAAATGTTTGCCGTCACCATCTCTAGCATGGACACCTGTTGAATTGAGATCAAATAGTCCCATTAGTTCCAGGAGTGGACATATACATGCTCCACTATGGTTTTATTAATTTTGTTCCAACAGTTCATGGCTACACAAACACTTGAGTATTAAAAGGCTTCCTAGTCTCACTATTTATCCCATTCCTTGAGTTATGAGGAAAGAAGTTTGTAATTCATAAAACTAATAGTATTGTTACTAACATTATAACAATAATAGTAATTATAATGTTAAAAGATGATAATAGTAAAAGAAATAGAACTTTTTCTCAAAATAAAAAAAACCGGTGACATCAATGTGATGATATCACTAATAATTAACCCGTATGATAAGGATGAAGTTACGGTCCCATTATGGAAAAATCTGGGTCGAGTGCCAGGCAACATGAGCTTGCCATCATGAACGAAGGCCAGGGTGACACAGAGGACTTGCCACTAGTGCATAAATCTCTTGGGAGTGTGATTTGACTCATTTTGCACTTAAAAGCATTATTCCCATTGATAAACAAATGTGGAATGTAATGTGCATAAGCATAATGTGCATGGAAGAGTGCTGGCTCCAGGAACAACACCATTTCCATGCTGCACACCATATTCCTTATCGCTGTGACCAGCGGCACAGGTTATATTATAGAAAATTTAAAATTACGAACAAAATAAGATATATGACACAAATAACCAAAAGTTCCTTTTTCTTTTCTTTTCTTTTTTTCCCTTGCACTGAGTTATTTACTAAATAGAGAGATGGAGTCTGTGCAAGGAAAATAAGCTATTACCATCTGGATAAAGCAAAACAAAAGATAAATATGGACATTGGAGATGGCAAAAAAGAGCAAAAAAATTTACACAAAATAACTTTCACTTTAAAAATACAAAAGCCTGTGTATACTCACATGGCACGCAATGACAGCCCCGATGCCCCAGCCCAGCAGCACGATGGACTGTTGGGGTATTGGCTCTTGCACTCCACCACCCGTGCTCGCACTTCAGACAGTATTTGCTCCAGAACAGTACTTGCATCATTGCTCTCTGGAATGTGGAATTTCATTATTTGAAAAATGGGCTTGCTTCCCAAATTGGTTATACACTGCTCTGCACACAATCAAATACTAGAATGAGAATGGCTTGAAAACACTCAAGCATCTATACTTGCTACTGCATGAATCCTTAACCCACTGGACCTGGGTGATATGGCCAGGTAAAATATTTACACAATTATCCTATTTATCTTATTTCTCTGCATATACATTACGAATATATCTTAATTAAAGAAAAACAGGATAAATAAGAGCCCACAACACCATAGCAAACATACACTTCACAGGAATAACATACAAAATTATATGCCTACACCCTTTCGCACACGTCTGCAGAAGCCACATAAAACCCTTAAACATGTCTTACCTGGTGTAATCATGACAGGAACAGTCTTGGCCATGTGGTGGAGCTGCGCATTGAAGAAGCGTATTCTCCGCGGTGCTTGGGGGATGCTCGAGGGGGGACCACTTGGAACTTGAATGATGATTGCGGACCCTTCCAGTTTACGCTGTTTGCGAGAGTGGGAAACGTTAACAATAAGGAAAGTTACTGAAAAAATAAGGGTATACACCATACATATTTGAACTAGAGATATAGTTAAACTATCCCTAAAGAAAATGCATTTGCTTTACATTGGTATTTTATCAAAAACAATAACATTCTCTAATTTCTGCTGCAACTCAGCATGTGATGTAAGAGTTGTTGTCTGAATAGTACTACCAAAATCAACTTTATAACTTGTACACAGCACAATTCAGAGTTCCCTTCCCTATGCATTTGGTAAGTGATATTATCTGCCAACTCTTTTAATAATAATATTAATAATAGAAAAATAACAATAATAAAAAATAAAAATAATAATAATAATATAAAAAGAACAGCAACATTAATAATAATAACAAAAAATAATTAGTCTGCCTGATAAATCTTTTAATTATGATTTAATTTTTGACAATCCAAATCTATTCAAACAGGTATAATGCACAGTTTACACAGTAACATAATGACTATCCAATATGTTTTTACATTTTGATAGGTATTAATAAATGTGCCCAGTAGATAATTCAATTCCTTGAAATATGTTAATCCACTGATTAAAAACAAAGAAAATATATTTATGACTATACAACACTCACAATGCAACAACACTAAAAGAAAAGAAAAGAAAAGAAAAAGAAACACTCACTAGGTATAATAAATGCATAAACAAAATTCTAAAAATCATAAACATAACTCAGTCAAACATAAAACAACCAGTTGACTTTCTACTCCTCACACTCACCGGTTTGTGCTGATTGAGGGAGGGCACAGCTGGGTCCCAGGGTCTCTTCAACAGGAGGTTCAGGGCCTCTACGCTGGCCCCTCGATGGGTGCTGCTTAGGGCCACCATCTTATCCACCAGGGTTGGAATTTTGGACTTAAGGGTCTGTGTGTGTGTGGGGAGGAGGGCAAAAGAAAAGGAAGGTTACTTTGATTTAGTAGATAAGCATGAAGAAAAAAGCAAAAAACAGTAACCAATAAATAAAAGAATAAAATAAAATCCAAATCTTTAAAAATTCAATAAAGCATTTACAATAAATAAACAAATATACAACAACAAATATAAATGTTTAAAAAATGACTGGGAAATCCCACCTGGAGGATGTCAAGATAAGCAGCCAGGTAAGGAAGACTCAGGTACTGGAGGAGGATGGAGTGAAGCCACTGGGTCAGCTTGGAGTCCCAGTTCACCCTTGCTAAAGCTTGTCTGAACTTAGCTGCTGTCTTGTCTGGGTGGAGAGAGGGAGGGAAGAGAATGGTAGAGAGTTTTAATGATTTTTGTTTGAGATTTTCTTGAAAATATATTTAAGGGAATTTTTAATAGCAGTGAAAAAAGGATACCTCTGGCCAAATGAAGATCATGTAGGAGAGGAGGAGGAACATGAGGAAGTACAAAGACTAAGAAGACAATGAAGAGGATGAAGATGATGATGAATATCAAATGCAGCAAGAATTTAACTATTTTCACTCTTAATGAATATGTAAAGCTTAATTCAAATCAAAGCTGCAAGCTATAGCAGCTCTATCCTGCTCTTAGGATAGGAAAGAAATTTGTATATAAATCATCTTTGAAAAGACTTTTAATAGTTGTTACATTAGTAAACTGATGGTTATAAATTCTTATAGCAAAGAGTGACCATAAAAATAACAAATAAAGAAAAATTTATCTATTTGGTATATA